TATATATATATATATATACACACACATACACAAACACACTGCAGAGTGGTACATCTGAATCAAGATGACAGTGAGGTTACTCCATGCCTGAGCATTTCCGATGCATCTGTCCTCTGTGGTTGTTTTCTTTAACACAGTTTTTGACCTTTTGCAGCAGCACCACTTCCTTGAGCTGAAATCTGTGAGAATGCCATGTGTTGCTGCAGTGAGACGGCCCGCAATAACTCCGGACACATTCTCGCACTCAGCCGAACGCGGGTGGGAAAGCTGTAAATGAAAGGGGGCTGAAAGGCCAGCTATTGTAAACTCTTGTTTACTTTGCTTTCCACTGTGACTAGATAAAGCAGGATCTGCCTCTCTGATAACCGGCCAGGCAAGTGCTTGCTCGACTACTGCTGCTTTCTCAACTCTCTCCTCCCCTCGCTGTAATATGCTTCCAAAATGAAAAGAGGGGCAGATAATGGTATGCGTGGAAGAAAAAAAAAAGTAGGGGAGTGGGGGTAGACCCCCCTCACTACCTCCTTTCTCCACTCCCATTCCTCTCTAACTCTTGACAATAGACAAAGAAAGGAGAAATAACCTTATAATTGCTGAAGGGGTGAGGAAGAAAACTGGATTTGGTCTCTTGAGTGTGTAAAGTATGCTATGTTGAATAGCCGTCAGGTACTCTTGAATTGGCTTTTTTTTAAACTGGTAGGTTAACCTCATAAAGACAAGCCAAGATAATTACATGTTTGAGATAATTACCCGGGCTTTCAAAGTCTGTTTAGATGGCACTCGTGGAAACTGATTTTGATTTCTCTCCACAGCCTTTTCCACTTCGACTTTTGCTACATGCTCCCTGTTTATCCGGCGAGAGCTGAAATCCAAACAAAAACATTAACTCGAGTRCTCTTCCTACCAACTCTGCCTAATCCCAATCAAAGCAGCTTCCTGTTTTGTTTGTTTATTTTTATTCATTTTGCCGCGACTGAAAAGGCAGGCAGGACTTCCTAATGACCTGTTTTGCAGCGGGCACTTCTTTAGCCTAGCCTAGCTTAACTCGCAGCCACCGCCGCGCTTGGATTTGCTCGATGGATTCCTTGGAGACAAGCTGTTTGTGACGGAGGCCATTGTCAGAGGCTTGCAGGGGGTTAAGGGGGAGAGGAACTTTCCATTAGCTAAGTACACATGTGTTAAGCCAGGTTATTGTTTACTTAGCCAAAGAAACCACAGCATGCAGGCCTCTGGGACAGACATGGCTGCTCATCACAAGCATCGGGAGTCACGAGCCAAGAACTTTATTTGCTGTTGGGATCTTGTGGCGCAACTAAGCACTACTTTCCAGCAACACTGCAAGATTTTCAAACACAAACAATAAATTAACCACACACACACACACAAAAAAAATATACAAAAACACAAATTGTATGGCAGCATTCAATAGGACATTCCTAATCTTTGAAGTCACTCCAGCATTGAGTTGCATAATCATAATCACCCCTACTTGTTATTCCACCACAATAATGAAGAGGCTAAGAAACACACGAGTCACGTGGTCTCTTCTTTGTGTCACTTGTTGAATCCTCAACAGCCGCTCGGCATTCACTTCCCAAAAGGAGAAAAAGAGAGGAGTTTA